TAGAATCAGCGAGGTTAAGAAGAGGGAAAAGTTTTCCAAAAAATACTTTGCAACGATGGAACCTGCAATAACGTTGGCGAAGCAGGGAGCAAATTGCAGACCCGCCTACAGGAACACAAAGCGGCGGCCCGGAGATTAGACCCTAACTCACAGCTTGAAGCACATATTGGAGAGCCATGCAACGACTTTAAGATTCAAGAAACGACCGTCGTAGGCCGAGGAGCCTTAAAAGCTTAAAGATTGACGCTTGAGGCATGCCACTCAGACGCCAACTCTGTCAACAGGCATCTGGACCGCCCTGCGGCCTACAAAGTCCTATGCCATTACGTAAGTAAAACACAGGACACGGTCAAACCGAAGTGGAGATTTACAAACGAAGACGGCCCTGTGACGAAACCACCGTAAGGGGTAGCAGGATAACCAACATCTTCTACCATGGCGATAGAACAGACCACCAATTGCCCTCACGCCACGTCTTAATCCATATGTTTCAGTACTCAAACGTGCTGCTGGAACAGTCTGCACAATTTAAAACATGCGAATTAATATCGAGTAAACCGTCGGAAATACAGTTATTGGTTAAGGAATGCCGCTTTAGTTAACACGGTATGCGATAGCTCAAATAATCCTAGCCTCGACCCCTACCTAAATCTTTAATGAAGCCCTCAACTTTACCCTCACCCTAACCACTTTCGCAAACCTATCCAGAACCATAATAATGTTTTAAATATGCTTAAGTAAACAAACTAAGTGGCAGTTTTACAAACAATCAAGTCTAGTAGAGTAGGAAACATTCCCTGCGATAGATTGTTAATTTGCTTGACGTTTCGAAATGTCACGTGTACAATTCATTGCATATTTAGCTCAGCTCTGCCGGGATTGACCTTGAGCTCTGGCACCGATTTGTTCGCGCAATTTAAGGTTAATATGCCTACTAATATAAGCCAATATCTGTATATTCAGCAATCAAATACACACTCCTAGATCGTCTAGATGACCAACCAACCAATCAAAAGGTCCCATTGCCAGACGTATTGGTTGGCTTCTAGTAACACCCCCGCGGCATTGGCTTAACGCTGATCTATCAGACCTTCATTCAATTCCACTGAGTGGTATTCATGGTCAGTCAGTGAACCATGCCAGTGCTATCTGAAGCTCTCTGGGAGACCTTGCGGTGTTCAATTTGCCTAGAAACTTGCAAAGAGCCGTATCGTTTGCCATGCGAACACTTTTACTGCAGAGGACCCTGTCTGCAGGGTTTGCTCGATTCAGCACAACCAACCTGCCCCAATTGCAGAAGAGCCTTCTCCCGGGCAGACGTGGTGCCGTTCCGTACCCTCAATAATATCATGAACCTTATTGAGACGCCTCAACAAAATAACCAACAGGGTGAAGTGGCAATATGCCCAATCTGCACTCGTCAGGTAGGGGCACCACTGAAGTGGTCGGCACACTTTGCTGAACTGGTGTGCGCTGATTGTTGGAGCACGGGTGAAGTTTTCCGTAAATCGAATGTGGACGAACCTATCCAGACAGAATCCTCGGGTGGCAATCGCCGCAGTGGGATACTTACTGCCGAGCAAAATAACCAACAAGGGAAGGAAGCAGTTTGTCCGTGCTGTCGACAAAAAAAGCCGTTGTATATGTCGGAGATCTTTGTGGAACCGGTGTGCAATGAATGCAGGATGTCAGGAGAAGTTGCCCTGGAACTTACCATAAATGAAACCAAAGTATAGCTAACTTCAGCAGATGTCCAAAAAATGTCGTGGCTTCAAAATATTTCTCCTGCCAAGCCTACAAAGGATGGTCTTCTGTACAGTACTGTTCAATTACAATTGTAACATAGCAATTATCTGAAGTTGACTTTTTAACGAAATTTAATTATTTTTGTTAGTTAGTTAGTAACATTTCCAGGACAATTGTTTATTTATTGCTCTAGAAATTAGGCTGCTTCTGCACGATAGGGATAGTCTTGCATATCTCTACAATCGACTGTAAGATCAGTCGTTACAGGCAATGTGGCCGACTGGCGGACTGCGAGTCAGACTGTGAGCCAGACACAGTGAGACGTGTGAGATCCTAGCGACCCATTCGCTTTGTTGGGCTGGTGCTCGGCACACGGAACAGAGGCTGATGTCACTTCTGAATGCCGCTGTCCAACGGCACTCCAGCGCATTCCT